CAGCGTGATAATGTGGGCTTAGCCGTTTGTCACCCAGCCTTCAGCCACAAACTGGTCCAGTTGCTTAGCAGCTCCCCAGGCAAGTCTGTGTCTGCCGGTGAAGGGTGACTTCCTCAAGGGCCCCTCACAGGGGCACCCCGCGAACATGAGGCCTGGGAATATAAGGCCATCGGGAAGTGCTGGCAGCCAGCCCTGGTTTCATGTTCCTGTTGTTGGCCTTCTGTTTGCACCGAAGCACCGTTGACTTCCGATGTGTGGTTTGGGGGTGTCCCTCCAGGAAAGGGTCATAACGGGATGCCAGTGGCTGTGGCCCCCAACAGAGGTTCAGTCCTTACCCTGTGAGTGACAGGTCCACCCATGTGTGTGGGTAGGGGGGGCGGGGGGTTGAAGAACCATGACTATCACTGAACTTAAACGGCCCAGTGTCTTCTCTGTGGCCTGGGCATGCACTCAGTGCCTTTTGCTTCAGGCCTGAGCCTGTGGTGAAGCCAGGATGGCATGCACAGCAAGGTGCATATGTGGCTGTTGAGTTGTGGCCTGGGTTTCTGGAGCAGATCTGTCTCCTGCTAACTGAGGGCTGCAGCAGCCTGGACACGGTGGCCTCGCGCTTCTGATCCAGATGGATAGAAGGAGAATGAGCAGCTTGTGAATCCATGGAGCAGAGCAATGTGCTCTCCTCCTCTAGCTGTGCTCCCTTGATCCAGCCTGTGGCCCCCAACAGAGGTTCAGTCCTTACCCTGTGAGTGACAGGTCCACCCATGTGTGTGTGTGGGGGGGGCGGGGGGGTTGAAGAACCATGACTATCACTGAGCTTAAACGGCCCAGTGTCTTCTCTGTGGCCTGGGCATGCGCTCAGTGCCTTTTGCTTCAGGCCTGAGCCTGTGGTGAAGCCAGGATGGCATGCACAGCAAGGTGCATATGTGGCTGTTGAGTTGTGGCCTGGGTTTCTGGAGCAGATCTGTCTCCTGCTAACTGAGGGCTGCAGAGGCCTGGACACGATGGCCTCGCTCTTCTGATCCAGATGGATAGAAGGGGAATGAGCAGCTTGTGAATCCATGGAGCAGAGCAATGTGCTCTCCTCCTCTAGCTGTGCTCCCTTGATCCAGCTGTGCGCCCCTCCTCCAGCTATGTTCCCTTCCTCCCACTGTGCTCCCACCCTGCAACTGTGCTCCCTCCTCCCACTGTGCTCCCACCCTGCAACTGTGCTCCATCCAGTTGTCCTCCCATCTTCCCACTGTGCTCCCACTTTCCCACTGCGTGCTTTTCCTCTGGCTGTTTCCCCTCCTGTTGTGTTCCCGTGCTCTTATTTTGTTTCTCTCCTTCCACTGTGCTCCCCTCCTCCTGCTGTGCTCCCTCCTCCTGCTGTGCTCCCCTCCTGCTGTGCTCCCCTTCTCCTGCTGTGCTCCCCTCCTCCTGCTGTGCTCCTCCTCCTGCTGTGTTCCCATCCTCCTGATGTGCTCCCATTCTCCTGCTGTGCTCCCATCTTCCTGCTGTGCTCCCCTCCCCCTCCTCCTGCTGTGCTCCCCTCCTCCTGCTGTGCTCCCATCCTCCTGATGTGCTCCATCCTCCTGCTGTGCTCCCCTCCTGCTGTGCTCCCTCCTCCTGCTGTGCTCCCTCCTCCTGCTGTGCTCCCTCCTCCTGCTGTGCTCCCCTCCTCCTGCTGTGCTCCCTCCTCCTGCTGTACTCCCTCCTGCTGTGCTCCCCTCCTCCTGCTGTGCTCCATCCTCCTGCTGTGCTCCCCTCCTCCTGATGTGCTCCCTCCTCCTGATGTGCTCCCTCCTCCTGCTGTGCTCCCCTCCCCCTGCTGTGCTCCCTCCCCCTGCTGTGCTCACTCCCCCTGCTGTGCTCCTTCCTCCTGCTGTGCTCCCTCCTCCTGCTGTGCTCCCTCCTCCTGCTGTGCTCCCCTCCTCCTGCTGTGCTCCCTCCTCCTCCTGTGCTCTTGTGCTCCCTCCTCCTGCTGTGCTCCCTCCTCCTGCTGTGCTCCCTCCTCCTGCTGTGCTCCCTCCTCCTGCTGTGCTCCCTCCTCCTGCTGTGCTCCCTCCTCCTGCTGTGCTCCCTCCTCCTGCTGTGCTCCCTCCTCCTGCTGTGCTCCCCTCCTCCTGCTGTGCTTCCTCCTCCTGATGTGCTCCTTCCTCCTGCTGTGCTCCCTCTTCCTGCTGCTGTGCTCCCTCATCCTGCTGCTGTGCTCCCTCCTCCTGCTGTGCTCCCTCCTCCTGCTGTGCTCCCTCCTCCTGCTGCTGTGCTCCCTTGATTCCTCTGCCTCCTCAACATCAGGGATGCCAAGTGGCCATGGAGGACATGCTGTCCCCTCCTAGCCTGTCGCTGCCCTCCCCACCCAGCCCCTGATACTCTGGGCAGTTTAGACTGGCTTTCTGTTCTGGTTTGGTACCGAGTTCTGGCATCGGAAACTGTCTGTCTGTTGAGGTTCTGGTGTGTGGATCCTGGGCCTGTTGAGCATAATTTTCTCACTGAGAGTTGAATGGCCCACTGACCCCTTTGACCTACGGCCTGATTTGCAGACCCCGGTCATTGGGATTTTTCTGGTGCCTAGTATACCAGGCACCAAAACCTGACCATCTGGTGCTCAGCATGTTGAAGCCTCCCTCTTGGCAGAGCAGGTGAAGTTCCTAGTTTGAATTCTGTGTTTAGCTGACCCGTTCAGGGTTGTTCCCGCAGTGTGCACATCAGTGGACCCTCTTATGTGAGTGAGTCCACCGTGCGGCATCCCCTGTACTTGGGGTGCTGCCAAAAAGTCTTCCGGATGCCTCCGGGTGGTGGGCGGCAGGCGTGCACTTCTGTCGGAGTCACTCCAGAATAAATCCTCATTTTATGTGGAATACAGCCTTACAGACTTCAGTGTTCCTGTTGGCTAACCGGGATGTCTCGGGCAACTCCCTCTCCAGTTTGTCTCTTAGATACAGAACGGCCACACAGGGTGGGGTGTAGCCTTCCAAGTGTGTCTGTATTGGGCTATCTTGGGGTCAGGGCGGTGGGTGTGTCCATCTCCACACTAAGACTACCCCAAGTTTTTTCTCTTTTGGAAAATATGTTTGGAAATAAGAAACACTATGGTTAGTGGTGGTCACCATCCTTCGTGCAGCCAGAGGCGTGCAGGACGCACCCTGTCCCCACAAGCTCGCTCCCGCCTGCCTCTCATAACCTGCACAGCTCTTGACTTCTGCCTTCTCTGGGGACTTGGGCTGTGTCCCTCCTCTGCATGTCCGATGAGCTCTGCCTGGTTTGTGGACACTTGGGGTTCTCTCTTGTTGGGGGGTGAGAACTTGAGAGTCTAATAGGCGTTCTAACGCTCTGAGGACAGTTTGATGGTTTGTGCCTTGCTCTTCAGGTGTGATGGCTGGGGCCTGACCAGGTAGGGCTGACTCCCCCCAGATGACTAGACCCCTCACACACCCTGCCTGCTCTCCCCAAATCAGACAGGAGGTCGGCTGGCTGACCTCATGGGCATCTCTTCTTCCTGGTGGTCTCTGCTGCTCTGTCTGTCAACTTCCTGGTGGGCCCTGTGCTGGAGACTGGGAGCTCATCTATCGTCCTGAGCTGTGGTCCTCTCTCGGCTGCCGCTCTGCTCCTTGGACACTGGCTTCCTTGGTGTCCTGCACTCTTGGCTCGGTATTAACAGCTGTGACCATATTTCCTCTCTCTCTCTCTGACCTGCAAATTTCTGGAAAGTTGACATTTGGTGGCCATTTAGGACCTTGCCTTTGTTGCCTGTGGCTCTGGGTCTTCAACTCATTTTCCCCTCCTCTCCTTTCTGTTCCTCCTCCCCCTTTCTTCTTCAGGTGGGTGGGAAGATAGGTCTACTTACCAGAAGGAGAAGTCTCTAGCTCCCGCCCCCACTGTTGGTCTAACAGTGTGAACTCTCCCTGAAGTCATTCCCTGCACCTTCCCTATTTACTGTGCCAAGTCTTGAGTCTTAGCTTGTGATTTCTGCCTAGATTGTATTGTACCCACACACTGTGTTTATTTATTTATTTTTTAGATATGCGCTACTTTTTAAATCCCGCCTCGCCCCCTCCCCGCTCCTTGCTGCATCCCTGTGGTGAGCAGCAGCATCTCAGGCCTCCAGTAAGCCCCAGGGTCTGCTGACCAGCAGCCACCGGCCCCTCACTGGCCACTCCCATGGGTTAGGATGCGGCTGTCTCAGGGGGCACAGTCATCATGCTGACCACAGAGTCAGGACAGACCAGCCAGTAGATGGCGCTGGCACACTTGGTTGTGCAGAAAATGTAAGATTTATTCCTAGCTTCATGTCACTCAGATAAATGTTGCAAAATAACTCATGTCATGCACACCATTGCGTGTGTGTGTGTGTGTGCGCGCGCGCGCGCGCGCCCACCCACACACACACACCCACACACCCACACACACACACACACACACGCACATACACACACGCACTGATACACTCACACCACACACAGGTGCACACATACACACACACACTGATACAATCACGTCACGCACAGGTGCACACATACACACTCGAGAGTCAGGACAGACCAGCCAGTAGATGGCGCTGGCACACTTGGTTGTGCAGAAAATGTAAGATTTATCCCTAGCTTCATGTCACTCAGATAAACGTTGCAAAATAACTCATGTCATGCACACCATTGCGTCCACACACAGGTGCACACATACACACATGCACTGATACACACACCACACACAGGTGCACACATACACACATGCACTGATACACACACCACACACAGGTGCACACATACACACATGCACTGATACACACACCACACACAGGTGCACACATACACACACACACTGATACAATCACGTCACACACAGGTGCACACACACACACACACACTCACATGCACTCACACTTTGTTAAAAAACAAAGCTTCAGAAACTCTAGGAAAGTGGAGACATTTACCACAAGTAGCGGGACAGAGTGATGTGTGCATGTCAGCACACAGCGCCCAAGTCTCTAATGGCTGGCACAGCACACAGACACAGAGGGTAACTGA